GAGGAAGGTGGAACTAAGAGAGAGAAAAGGAGAGCAAGAAGGACCACACTGGTGCATTGAACTTGCAGAGGGAGAGAGCATACCTAGGGTTGTGGGGTGGGGTGAGGAAGGTGGGGAGGAGGAGGGAGGTTGGGGATTAATTGGGTGTGGGACATGGGGAATAATTGCAATTAGTGGTAATGGGCATGCTAATAGTATTGATCTGGCCATTGCATCTTGGGCACAGGTGGTGATGGTCAGCTTCATACCCCATGAATATACACAGATAATAAAAAATAAATAAATAAAATAAAAGAGCAACTAATTAAACATCATTAAAATTAAAAACCTTTGTTCATCAAAGATACAATTATGAGAGGAAAAAATAGCAATGAAATTCTGCCATACACACCAACATGGACAAATATGGAAAAAATTATGTTAAGTAAAATATGCCAGCCATAGAAAGAAAAATACTGCATGTCCTCACTCACTAGTGTGAGCTGAAAGAAAACCAAAAAACGAAAGAAAGAAAGATACAACAATCACAATAATTCTTTGAACTTTCAAAAGGAGAGAACAAAACTGAGGCCACCAGAGGTGAGAAAGGGGGAGTGGGAGTTAGGGAGAGATTGGTAGAGGGCCACAAAAAATGTTTAGATTGTGTAATGATAAAACAAAATAAAGAAATAAATAAAATTAAATAGGACTAACATTTAACAATTCTCATTAAAATGGAAACAGGAATATTTGGTGTAGTAACACTAACATTTTATTTATTGGAGATAGGGCATGTGCACATCAAACCCAGGGATGGAGTTGTGATGGAGAAGGTGGTGGTGTGAGGCTTACAGAGCCATGATAACTTGACCTGTGCATGTGATGAAATACAGCTCTAACTCTGAGCTCCCTGGGGTAATAGCCTCCCCCTGAGTTTTTTAGGCAAGTGCATAAAAATCTCTGCTAACTCCAATGCTCAGAGTCCTCCTGTGACTCATCTCATTCTAGGCTATGAAAACTACAAAGCCGGTGAGCAAATTACTTATTGATGTGAGGTGAACTTTTAGGAGGAAAAGGAGAGTTTCCCATCCAGACTAGAGGGATGGGAGTCCTAAGGGAGGTATCTGAGAATACTAGGACCTTCATCTGGAGTTAAGTAGGCAGAGTGAAGAAGACCGGAGTTACAAACATGGCTGATCCTAGTACAATGGAAACTGGTGTCTGGGAGGGGAAAACAAGGGACTGGGGAAGCCTTTCCAAAGTTCTAGTGTGCCAAGGACCTCTGAGTGCCTCGTAAGCTCTGCTTAGGCACCCGGTCCTGACTACTGTAAATATTCTGCTTCTTCCTTACTGTCATCCAGGATTTTTCCATGCTAGGTTCTGGAAACACACAGAAGAAAAACAAGTTTCAGAACTCACCAAGTCACAGTAAGTGAACTAGGAATGACATGGTGAATGTGTGGAAGATGGTGAGTATGCCTTGAATAGGACCAGTTCTCCTAACAGCACAAAGCAGAGAGATGGAGACAACTTCTCTTGAATGATGAAGTTACCTGGATCTCAACACCTTTTGATGAGGCATTTGATGCGTTTTTCAGGATGACCCTAAGTTAGATAAGCAGCCGTGGTAGTTCAGGCAACTTCTCCCATAGACCAACCCCCCTTCTCCAAGCTCCCTGACATCTTCTGTCTGCATTCCAAAAGAAAGTTCCTCTTTGTTATCCATCAAGCATTAATCATTCATTGACATCTGGAAGCTTGTCCTCATCCACTTCCTCTATTTCTATACTCAAGAATTATTTTTGCTTTACCTGCATCTCCTTTCCTGATATTTTTCTTCAGGAACGTGGTACATATAGTTGGCCCTCATCCCTCTCTGCCATTTTCATATCTGTGTTAATTTCTTCCACCTCCTCCAGGAGGATGGCTTTCCTCAGAAGAGCATGTATTCTCACAGTGTCTGTGTGGCCACAGACTGACCTTCTGGTAGCTGGTGTCCACAGCAGGACTTAACCACACTCTTGAGCAACAGTTCCCATCCAAAAACCCATGTTCCAGCATAAGCTTCTCCCAGCTCTCCTGTTCCATGATCTTATCGTCCATAGTGTTTCAGCCATTACTCAGAGGGATGGACAGTGAGATAAAAGGTGCTCACTTTCCCTGGTTTCAAGTTTCAGGCCACTCCCCTAGGACTCGAGCCCCTCCTCCAAGTCCTGAGCTACTGTTGTTTGTTGCACCTATTTTCAGCACCAACACATGGAGATTGAGACCACAGGAGGCAGACTTAAATAATTCCAGTGGATGAGCATGTTCGGTAGAAAAGAGTTTATTCCATAAATGACCTTCTACTGGAGGCGCTACAGAGCACCTAGCATATTTTAAGTAATTTTTGGTGCATATGTTTGAATTTGACCAATGAGCATGCTCCAAAGAGATCAACTGAGCATGTGCTAGGCTATGTTACATAACCTGTTACATAACTGGGAATCACTGAATATTCATTAGATAGCATAAATATGTATAGATAGCCACACTATAAAGGTAGACTCCAGGAAGAAGGTGGGGCAGCTGCTCACTCTCTCTAGAGCCAGCCTTCGCTTAGCCTGTGAGGTGTGTATTTATTTTTGTTTTAAACCTGCTGTTAGTGGGCTGCTGCTCACTCTCTTGAGCCAGCCTGTGTTTGCAAAGTTTGTATTTCTTACTTTTGTATTAAACTTGCTGCAGCCGTCACTCACACTGTAGAGCCAGCCCACACTTTCCCAGTGAAGTGTGTCTTTTTCTATCTTTTACATTAAACCTGTTTCACTTTCTACTCCAACTCTGTTCTTGAATTCTTTCCTGTGGAGGAGTCAAGAATCCTTTCCTGTGTAGAGGATGGGGCGGGTTCAGGTTGGCTATCCGACCACCCCAGACCCTCTCCTCCAGTAACAATAGGATTGAATAAATTTCCTCCTTCAAATATCAAACTTCAGAAAAAAGGAAGACTTGAACCTGAAGGAGACGGTACTAATAATTATGCATCCTTCTACACAATAGGTCCTGTGAAGCTAGCAGAATTTTATCTGTGCTTCATCATCCCTTTTGAATAAATTTCCTCCTTCAAATATCAAACTTCAGAAAAAAGGAAGACTTGAACCTGAAGGAGACGGTACTAATAATTATGTATCCTTCTACACAATAGGTCCTGTGAAGCTAGCAGAATTTTATCTGTGCTTCATCATCCCTTGAATCCCCAAACTTCTCATTACCTCTAAATTTCTCCCTACCTGAATTCTACACCAAGCTCGCCTCCTGAGAATGGGGATGAGACTATCAAGTTTAACACCAAGCCCAAGAAGGTGTGGGAGAGAGCAGGACTTAGAGCAGCATTTCTCAACTCTCCACATTGGCACTGTTGACTTTTTGGGCCAGATGATTCTTTGCTGTCGGAGTTGCCCTGTACCTTGTAGGATATTTAGAAGCACTCCTGGCCTCTACCCACTAGATGCCAGTAGCCACCACTCCCCAGCTGCGACAACCAAAATGTCTCCAAGCATTGCTAAATGTCCTCTCAGGAGCAAAAATGCACTCAATTGAAAACCACTGACCTAGGTTTGGCCTTAAGAGTGAAAAGCATTTATTTCACATAAAATGTTACTTGTGTCTCCATGGGAATAATGAGCCCTGTGGCTACTTAATCACCTGGTTTTCTTCTAGATTATCTAAATCTGAGTCAGTTTGATTATTTTTCTTTATCAGCATTTAGTCTGGGTCCACTTGCCCCTTTTCTTTGTTAGCACCTGAGCCTCTCTCCTTGTGTAGTACTTTGGAAAGGAGAACCTTTTCCCAATTTCTCATCCTTCAGATTCCCTGGTTTTTATGGCTTTACTGGAATCTTACAACTGGTAAGTAAAAGAACATAGAATATGGTACAAAATGTCAGAAACTGCTGAAATTTCCATTACTAATCATTTCAAAACCCTATGGCATTAAATATGCTCCACATACAGGAGATGGGGCACAGCAACCTGCTCAGGGGCTGTGTCTGCTACCTCTTACCCCCAACTACAAGGCCTTATCAGTTTTCCTCAGTTCGGTATGGTCTCTTGCCCCTTGACTCATTTCACAGATCAGAAAATGATGTATTCTACAGTTAGAGAATTGTCAAATCCAAGCTCTATTCCTTACCAGCTCTGCCAAGTTCAACAAGCTTCAACTTCTTATTCTGAAAAATTGGAGATGATACTGTCTACTTCCCTGGGTTATTACAAGTAATAGACAAGGTACTATAAGTAATGTTTTTGTATCAGTGCATGACATAAAATAGGTAATTTAAAAGGTTTGTGTGCTAATCCTATTTGTCTGTAAAAATATTATGTCAATTCATCATTTTATTCTAGTTAGGAAAACACTACACTTCCCTTTTAGATACTCTCCCTTCTGATCAATTCTTCAACAACTTCCAAATAAATATATCTCCTGCTCTGCAACTTAAAAACCCATGGTGGTTAACCATCTTCTCTCAGAACAGCATCTACGATCCTTAATTTGTAATCAGAGCCAATACACTTTTGTTTCTATCTTTTTCCCATTGAACATATGATCACACAACCACACAGGACTACAAACTGTTTTAAATGCATTAAATATTTATATGACAACAGTCCTTCCATAAAATCCCAAATCACTTCACCCCATTCCCCACCTAATTCATCTCCACTTAATGACATCTTATAGCCATATAGACTGAATTACTTTTCCATTGTGTTTGCACAGCAGTTTTTTGTACCACAATGTGTTCACTTAGCACATTATTTTAGTTAACTATATAAACATCTATCTTGTCTGTAATATTGTTCCCTCATTGAAGCAACAGATATCTTATTTGTCATTTTATCCTGTATAGTTCCTTACACACCAGCTATGCAAAATAAACAGGAAAGTGTCATAAGTCTCTGGTGATCAAAAATAAATCTTTGACTACAATATGAAATCTTGACTCTGGAAATAAGAAGTGAGGTCTCAGGTCACCTGCTTCCAGTATGCTTATCTTAAACCACACTGGTGTTAGCCACACAGTCTTCCGCTTGCTGGGCATCCCTGGCCTAGAAGACCAACACATGTGGATTTCCATCCCCTTCTTCATGTCCTATGTCATTTCTCTGCTTGGGAACAGCCTGCTCATCTTCATTATTTTCACAACACGTAGCCTCCGTGAACCCATGTACCTCTTCCTCTGCATGCTGGCTGGAGCAGATGTTGCACTCTCCACATCCGCAGTACCACAGGCCTTGGCCATCTTCTGGTTCCATGCTGGGGAGATCTCCCTGGATCGCTGTATCGCTCAACTCTTCTTCATCCATTCTACCTTCATCTCTGAGTCGGGGATCTTGCTGGTGATGGCATTTGACCGCTACATTGCCATATGCTACCCACTGAGATACACCACTATTTTCACAAATGCTCTGATTGGGAAAATTGGAGTGACTATCTTTCTCAGAAGTTATGGTACAATATTCCCTATAATATTTCTTCTGAAAAGACTAACTTTTTGCAGAAATAACATTCTTCCACACACTGTTTGTGAGGACATGGGATTGGCCAAATTTTCCTGTGATGACATCCAAATAAACATCTGGTATGGTTTTTTTGTGTTAATGTCAACAGTAACTTTAGATGTAATGCTAATTTTTATTTCCTATGTGCTGATTCTCCGTGCTGTCTTCCGCATCCCTTCCCAAGATGCTCACCATAAAGCTGTCAGTACTTGTGGCTCCCATGTCTGTGTCATCACTCTCTTTTATGGGCCTGGGATCCTCACAACCCTTACTCAGCGGTTTGGACACCACATTGCACCCCATATCCATGTGCTGCTGGCCAATGTCTGCATTCTGGCACCACCTATGCTGAATCCCATCATTTATGGTGTCAAGACCAAACAGATCCGGAACCAGGTGACTCAGATCTTGTTTCCAAAAGTGATATGACTTTGGGAAGGAAAACCAAACTACTGTTTTCTCAACATTTCTAGCCGTACATGAGGTGAACTTTAGCAGCCCTAGCAGGTGAGGGACAGCTGAGACTAGATAAATATCTCAATGAGTCTACGTTTCTGGAGCAAGTTCACTAGGGAAGTTTTTGGATTTGCTTCTCAAAGTCCCTTCTCATTTCATTGTGGCATAATGAGTTTTCTCATTCGGAGTCTGAGAAACAAAGCGAATCAACTTTTTAATTCACTCCTAGTCTATAACCCCTGATAGGTATTTGGAAAGAGACATACTATGGATAATTGCTGGACTATTCTTCCCTGGTTTGATGTGGCGAAGTCATTCCCATTTCTCTTATTTACCTAAGGTATTGCTCTTTGTACTATTCTCTCTGTGCTCTCTATCACAAAATTTTATTTTTCACAGGCTTATTTCTATCTTTATACATTTTGTTATTTCTCCTGTTGGAAAGACAAGAGGAAAAAACCTCTGGCATGTACATTCCCCTATAGTGTAATGTCTCTCTCTCTCTCTCTCTCTCTCTCTCCCTCCCTCTCCCCCCTCCCCCATTACAGTAAAACATTTTGAAAAAGTTTTATATACATTCAGGATTCAATATCTTTCTCCCTATTTTTTTATCTCACTGTAGTCAGACTTTTTCCTATGCCATTGACACTGCCTGTCACAGGGACCTCTGCACTGCTGAATTCAGTGGTCAGTACTCAGTCTACATCCCACATGATTGACACTTGTTTTATTCCTCTCATTAGGACATTAATAAATATTTGCTATATTTTGTGTTTTTGTGGTACACTATAAGAAAGATTCATATATATATATATATATCCTTAGTATGATATAGTTCAACAATAAAAAGAAATGTACAGAAATTTGAACTCTATTTAGTAGTTTGGGGGGGTTGTTTTTTTTTTAAATATAATTTTACATATTTGTGAGATAGAGTATGTTGTTTGAATACATGC